TACATTGTAGAGACATCAAATATATGGAGCAACATAGAATCATGCAGCAAAGAAACTGTCCTGTTGTGGAGTTTCTTGCCTTCTTAACGGAGGTTTGACCATCAGTTGTGTTGTGCAGCAGTCAGGTTGGTGCACAGCTGACAGACAATTTGACAACTGTTAGAATTCATATTATGGAACGAAACAATCAGCTAAGTGAAGAGAAACTACAGTTCATCATGACTTTAAGAACTGCAGGTCAGTCAGTCCAGAAAATCGCTAAAACTTTGAATGTGTCCCCAAGTGCAGTCGCACAAAAACCATCAAGATACGATGAAACTGTCTCACATGAGGACGCCCAGGAAAGAAAGACCCAGAGTCCCTCTGCTGCTGAGGATACCTTCATACGAGTCACCAGCCTCAGAAATCGTTAACAGCAGCTCAGATCAGAGCCCAGATTAGAGCCACACAGAACTCCAGTAGCAGACACATCTCTACATGTTCAGAGGAGACTGTGGGAATCAGGCCTTTGTGGTCAAACAGCTGCTGAGAGACCACGACTGAGGAAAAGCAACAAGCAGACGTTGTTTGGGCCAAGAAACACGAGGAGTGACGACCTCATGAATGTGTGAAGAGCAGTAATGAAAGCAAAGGGTGGCTGTTTATAAGAATCTCGTGTTCAAAACATGTTTAGAGTAATTTCAAAGTTTTTGTTTACTACATAACTCCATATGTTCACTCAGAGTGTTGATGCCTTCAGTGAGAATCTACAATGGAAATAATAAAGAAAGAAAAAACATTTAATGAGACAGTGTGTCCAAACTTCTGACTGGTAGAGTCAGATGTGTGTGTGTAAAGGCTGCAGGCATTCAATGAGCAGCATTTGGCAACCGTAGGGAGGAAGAACCCTGACAGGAAGTGACCTCTGCACTCTGAGCCTGTCGCAGCAAAGCTAACAGCCCTGATAGCCGAGTGGAGTTCGTAGTTGCACCACGATACCCGACTGTAGCGAGAAAACGCGACTGACAGACCAAACGGAGGCTGAACAGTTCAAAGCAACACTAAGTAGGTTTCCAGGATAATGACTTTGTGTCCGAGTTCAGAAGCAGAAGATTACAGCTCGTGTCTCTCAGACATGCTGCGGTTTACCAGACTGTTTCATTTGGACTCAGACTGTCAGGAAGACGAGAGCTTCAGCTCTCAGCTGAACATGAGCTTTGTGTTTTATGTCTAATTGAAGATGATGGTGAAGGAAACCTGCAGACAGCTGAGCACAG